GGATGACAATCTGCTACACAGCGAGACCTTTGGTGATCAGCTGCGTGTTGCGAGGGAGGTGTTGTCTTGTTACCAGGATCATGGTGAGAAGCTGATTTCCATGAAGTGTGATATTTTTTAAGAATAAGTGAGGTTGCTGGGTAAGATGCTATCCAAGAAGAGAAGAAGCGCTACCCAACGGATGCTGCATGAAATTTCTAAATAAATAATAATTAAAAAAAAATAGTCTGAAACTGTGTGTGTGTGTGAGTGTGTGTGTGTGGGGGGGGGGGGGTCTGAAATTCATCTCTTACTATTACCTATATAATTCAAAACTCTAAGGAATTGCTACACCATTTTCAGTCTGTTGTCAGCAGAGAAATCTTCCGGAAGTAAGAGAAAGCGTAAGGGGGTAGTGAGGAAAAGGTGCGCAGAGCAGCGGAAAGATGAGCAGCTGCCATCCAACAAGCCACTCAGCTGGACAGAGCGGCACCCGGTAATCCCCTGCCAGCTTATTCAGTCTCTACTGATCCCTCCGATCCTGGCGTACCCAGGCTCTGTGCTCCACAGCGATGCCTGTCAGGAAGGACCTGACACAGTGATGTATCAAAGGCAGCAGGTCGTGATTAGCTATGAGTCAAGAAGATGAACACCGGCGTTCAGGAAAAGTGAATTTACGCGAAAGGTTCAGAAAATGCTTATACCATATGCATAGAAAACAGCTAAATTGAGTGACACCATACATTGATAGGAGTCAGGGGTGTGGCGTGTGTGTCTGTCCACCCACCAGAGACAGAGCAAATTTAACCAATCGTTAGTGATGTAATTCATTTTATCTTTGCTCATTTTCCCCGTAAGTGCAACCTGAAGTCCACAGTCACACAGAAACATCAGCTTGAATCCCAGAAACGGCTCCCTGTTGTGCCTCCATGGAGGATCTACAGAAGGCTGAAGAAGAAGGGTCAGTGCTTCGTAAATGAGACTGCTCCCCCAGTAAGGGAGGGGCTTTGCTTTACCCCAGGCCAGGGTAATTATCTCCTATGAAGGGCCAAATGCCAGCTTCACTATGATTTTAAATTATTTTTTTTTATGTCCCCTGAAAGCGATAATAGGATAATAGTTCTTTATTATAGATGCTCATTTTTGTGAACCGCTGTGGAAGTGATGTCTTTTGGGTTTAATCGTTTAATGTGTTTGAGGCCCAATTTAGATTTTGTTTTGACTGAGATTACCAGGCTTTAGCAAATGCACCCTGTTTTAAGAAAATGCTGTTACTTTTTCCCAGAAAAGGAGTTATGATTGTATGAGTGAAGTCATATTATACTATTTTTAAACATAAATTAACCTGAGTTTAGAAGAAATGTGAAAAAAATTTCAACTAAAATATTTTGAGAATTTTTTCAACGGTCAAATATAGATTTATTTGCTTTCCTCCTACGTTTTATAATATACAGCATAGTCTCATTGTTATAACCTTATATTGGAAAGAATTCTTTTTCAGAATTCTGGCTTGTATACAACATAATACCACTTTCTAAGTGCCCCCATGTTTGCTAGTTTCAGCCAAGTATTTCGTAAACATTTGCTTTAAAAAGTAGTACTCAAGTAATCCAAAAATAATATTTTTTATTACTGAAAAAGTTCGAAATTACCCAGGACTGTTTATTGTGTAATTTAAGATAAATGTTACAGCCAAACCACACGTTTTTGGTTTCCTGCCAAGGAAAGCACTTTCGTTTGACCAGTAGAGGGAGCTCTTCCATCCATCTTTCAAACGTTTATCCAGTACAGGCTGTAATGGTTTGATGTTCTCTGCTGTCCAGGTAATCAGAAAATTAATTACCTGTGTCGAGCAAAATACACAGCCATGAACTTTCTGGTATTTTTGCCTTTATTTTGCACATTCAAAATACCCATACCCTTGCAAAATATTGATTCGATGTAAGTTCTTTCTTTCAAAATATTTACCCTGTAAGCTATTTTTTAATTTACTCGTGGTATTAATTATCCATCGAGATATCTACTGAGATAGACATAGAAAAAAAACAAGAAAATCTAATGGAGCAAGAAATGGAATGAAACTTCAGTTAAATGCAGATAAGCCAATTTTGCATAATCAGCGCAACTCCTATTTACGTTCAGATGCCAAAGCAGCGATCGTCGCCTAGGATGGTAATTGTTTAACAAGCAAAATTAATACATTCATTACAAGTAGATAAAGGCAGACACCTGATTGGTTTGTTATACACACAAAAATGTATGTAAATGTAAATATGTATTACTTAATGATATGCTGTTTCTGAGACTAACCCCACGCAAGCATGCTATGGATCAACTAAATGAATGTAACCTCGGTATAATACTGTTTGAGGTATTATTAAAATAAATTAAGCCAATTGAGGTTAGCCGATTATGAGTGAAAGTATACCAAACAAACAGTAGGCCTACAATGGATAGCCCACAATTAGAACAGGATGTCATTTAAATCAATATGTCATATCGATTACATTGGATTTTTATCTGTTTATTTGTGCATTTCGAAGCTTTTTTGGTAATAAAACCTATTAAGTAGTTGAATGCTCACATTATCACGTGACTATAAGCAATAAACGCCTATAGAGGGCACCATAGTACTTCAATTAAAGTACAAAATACTGGCAATGGCATAATGAATGTACTGTAACGTGGTAATGATTCTCGGTAGCTCTTTTTATAATTAACTGGTAAAGCTTATGGCCAACATACTGTATTTAAACTTAGTTTGAAATGTACATGCCATTCACTGCCATAAAATTTAAATAGCGGCTCATTCCTGAACATAAATTTGCGGGGGGATTGCAAGTTTTAAGTTTGGCTGAGAATTGAACTGTAATTGAAAAGCATTTGGAAAGGAGGTTATATATCTTAGTGTGGGTTATACTGGAAATATACTGGAGGCACACGAAGACAATTTCTTTCGAAAACATACTTAGACAACATAGCAGACATAATGCATGCAGGAGAGAGAGAGCGTTAAGTTAGAGGCAGCTCTGGCGTAGCAAAGCATATGTGCGCGACCTGTCACAACAAAAGGAAGGCCAGCTTGAAAAAGCCCAGGCACTGGTGCACACACGCTCACAGATGGTGCCCCGTCTCTCATTCAAGCCAGTCCAGCACGGGCGTGGCTGATCCAGAGATGTTAACCCTCTCTGGGTAACCCTGTGAAAGCAAAGAAGGTAGAACCGCTAATGAACTTTATTATCTGTGATATTTATAACTGCTTGTATCCAAAGTAGTTCATAAATGCTTCACTTACATTACGTTTGCGCAAATATATGCATGTATCATTGCGTCTAGGCTACGTACTCTATGACTCTGTGAATATCGCTCTCCATTTCGCCCCCAATCGACAATGCAAACCTGTTTAATTAATAATTTAGTGCATAACCATTAATAGTCATTAATAATTTCCTGACAGTTTTTAAATTAGTTGCACGTGAATGAATGGGTAGAGTGTTTTGGTGCTATGGTTACAGAGCCTTAAGGGGTGTTCGACGTTCTCAAAAATGGGGACGGTGTGATTCCAAGTTCAGAATAGCACTTCATCCTCTTAAATATTCATAATTTCATTATAAAGCTTTTTGTTTTGTTTGTGCTTGAAAAATGAACAATATTGCGCTTTATTATAAAGCTGCCAGATAAGCAAAGATGAAGAATTGTAGATACCTTTCAGAACATGATTGAAAAGAATACATTTATAACTATAGCAATTAGCCTTATGGTAGAACATTATGAACAGTTAAAAAGGGGGATATTCCATACTGCAATGAATCTGTTTGCAAACTGTGCAAATAGCCATGACATTCTTTAATTTGGAAAAAAAATACTTTATCAGGTTGATATGCAAAAGGGACCACACCAACCTTATACTTAAAGGTAATACTGTGTTAGATTTTTAAGAAACATAACCTATATAAATGTATGCAGTAATTCCGCTTAGTAACATGTCGGTATTTATGTTTTATTGTCTGTGAAATGACGGGTTTCACAGTGGTGCAGTGGTTAGCACTGCTGTGCCCCCGTGATCTTGCATATAACATGTACATGGGTGTGGAAAATGTGGAAGATGAGTGAATGAGAGTCATAACTGTTTTTAACTTCTTTGTGGTGGCATTTCGAATAGAACAAAAAAATCATATAAAATGTCGTAACATTGGTTTGTTTTAATGTTCTGAACATCCTCACTGAGGGACATTGTGCAGGTAGCAAAGAATAGAATTAATACTCATTCTATAGATTCTCATACAAAACCAAGGGAAGCAAAGACTTATTTACATTTAACCTTTGAGTACAGCGAATGAATTGATTAAGTTTGAAAAGGGGATTCCACATCAACAGTGACAAGCAGAAAGGCATTGAATCTTGGTTTGCGGATGGGTTCAGATTTTCTATGACCGTGGGGGTATTCATGAAAAGGTAAGGAATATCCGTTGTGCATGTCCATCGCAAGCTACTGAACAATGTGTCCGGGACCCTGCACGGTCAAAACACTTCATTATAGTTAGCAGCCGAACAGGTGAACAGGAACACAGATAAGGATTTGACAGAAGCAAATGGCCTCCTTTATTAAACATGTGGCATTGATTAAATATGACAGCAGCAAAGGCAATACACTGCAGTCATTAAATATCAGGCCATTTAATCGGATTTTAAGTTGTCGCTTTGAAAATCGAGATACAATAATGATAGTCATTTATTTCTGGTGAAGAATTTAGCCTTTCTCCTGCGTTATAACACAGTAAACGCACGATCACCGACTAAAGGAAAATATACTAGAACAATATTCCAGTTAACATTATGCCCTTGAACCAAAACACAAATCACGTTTAAATGGCCAAAATGCATTAATATAATAAAGGTGACAGTAGAAAAATAAATAATTAAAAGAAAAAAAAAAAAAGTAAATCAGCTGAAAGAAAAATGAGAGAGAGAGAGCGCTCCTAGCGGTCATGAATGAGAATGCATGGTAGTTAGTTTTAGCGGAGAGGCCCCGCCTACGCGTGTCTGGAGTACCTCGGCTGGACTGAGCTGAGTCGATCCAGTGAGGGAGAGACAGATTTACTAGGGAGAGGATCGTGTGCGATCTACAACGCCAGACTGTCAGCTTGAGCTGCAACCCGGGAGAGGCGATGATGGCGGCGGCTGTGGAAAGAGGAGGGGTCCGGGCCGCCTTCCTGAATCCAGGCAGCGGCGGCGGCGGCGGCTCTGCTCCGGCTCCTGTCTCCGTCGTGCTCGGTCCTGGGGCTGGAAGCGGCGTCTTGGGTTCGACCGGTTCTGGCCCGATCCCAGTGCCTATGAACCTTTTTGCAACCTGGGAAATAGATCGCACGTCTCCGAGCTGCGTTCCGAGGTACGGTACACGCTCCCTTTTCTATGCTTATGTTTGCTCAGCCGCTGCTTTGATTGCGCTCATTCTTTTATGGATTATTGTGTTAAAATGCAGAAAGCGATCCGGCACTTTTCAAATGCATGGGCTGTTTGGCCATCAGGAGATGGCTGTTGGCGAGTTTGCTGGAGGATTTCAGTGTCACGTCGGTGTAATGCCGCTGTCATTTGACCATTTCGGCCCTGGGCACATTGGCGGACATGTGCAGCGTCCAGCCGCGATGCAGGCACGTAAATCTGAACTTTTCCGTGTCCAGCACGGAAAGCGGCGATGCGCCGAGCCGTGCAACTTCACGTCTGAGGACGCGGCACCGTTACACGGACAGCTGTGAACGCTGTGGAGGCGCGGCGCCGTGCCGGGTACCGTACCGAGCCTCAGGGGCCGGGAGCCCGTCTGATCGGCACCGTGCCGGGTACCGTAACGAGCCTCAGGGGCCGGGAGCCCGTCTGATCGGCACCATGCCCATGTGCTTGATTTCACCATGTATCTCAGTGTTAATGTGTCTCGGAATACACCCAAACGTTGCTGTCTCAATCTACGGTAAGATTAATGGATGTGAAAAAGATGTGCCGGCGTGTGTACCCTTTTTTTTACCGTGGTAAAGAAGGGATTGAATGCCCGTTCAAAAATATGATGTATGTTGCTTATAAAGCATAGGATTATTTAATAAACGTTACGGTTAAAATAATGTGTAACAAAAGGGCTGACAAAATAGTGTAATAAAGTGTAATAGCATTTTATCCTGATTTCATCTGTGTGTGTGTGTGTGTGTGTGTGTGTGTA